GCAGCTGAAATGGCAGCAGCAGGAGTTCAGGAGCTCTGCAGCAGAGGTCCTGTTGATGTGCAGGGGCTGAACCCCAAACCTGCCCTGTTCCCCACTCTTATTCCCAGAAGTTTGCTCTACACAATTTAGAATTTTTAAAACTTTGAGGGGTTTTGTAGATTTTCATGTAGCCGTAGTTTTCTTTCACTTTAGACCACCACTTTCTCACAGCTTGTGTGTCACATTCCTGAAGCTTCCATTTAACCATCTGTTTACCGTCTTTTCAACAGTTTTTTTCAAGGCAATAAATGTTTAGCAAGAGCATTCCATTGGATTCTGTTGGGATGCGCACCTGGACCAGAATAGCGGGAGATAAGGTAGAAAAAACAAGATACAAGGCCCAAGACCATTGGAGGGACTCCAGTGGGGCAGTTCTGAGAGTAGTGCCAGAGCAAAAGGGGTCTTAGGATTGGATGTCCCAATTAATATGAGAATCAGCAAAAGATACAAAAGTGTAAGCACCTTTCATACTCCGTGGCCAGAAGGCCTTCATTAAAAGAGCTGTTCTCTATTTTATCTAATACTGCCTGGAGAGTCTTTTCTCCCGAAGATTTTAGGCATCACAATCCACAGAAAATCTCCTCTCGCTTCCCAGCCACTGCTCAGCCCCAATCCAGCACAGGCACACACTAAGGATGAATCCTCCCCAAGCCTGGAAGAATAAATCATTTTCAGAAGCTTTTATGCCAGAAGGTTTATGCCAATTCATTGACTCAGTCAGTGTGTGATCACACTGGCCAGCATTTATTCACTTTTGAAAAGTTTCTCCCCAGGGTCAGAAACCTCCAATTCATTCCAGTTACTTTATTTAATACAACTTTAAGTGAAAACCAGAGCATTTTCTACACTCAACACTAGCCATTAGAAGAGGACTCTTTAATGCATTAAGTTCTATCCTCTGTGCGAAAATACTTGGCAAGTAACAGTCACTTTGCACAATGGGAGGGAAAAAGATAGTATAAAAAATAAATACCCTGGTTTCTTATTTACCCAGAGCTTGCAAACCTTCCGAAGAGCGTATCTTGTGCTGCACAACACCCCGGGAGCAGAAAGGCACAGCTCATTCCCTCTCCTGGCAGAAGCACTGTTTTGCATGAGGTTCAGAGGCTACACTTAAAAGAACAATTAACATATTTTAAGAAGCACCTTTAAGAGAGCAGAACACCCAGAAGCCAAAGCAATTATAGTTGTTTTAGTCACATGAAGAGCTTCGCCTTACAATGTAACAAAGGCTAGCCATGCAAACAACTCTAATTTCTGCTTTAATGCTGCAAATCAATCCTTTGCTGGGGATGGCACCTTCCTCGGGTGATGTCCTTCCTCCATCCTGCCCAGCACCCAGCCCAGGGAGCAGAGCATCCCCGTTACCTCATTACAGGGTAATGCTGGCACCTGCACAGGCTCACCTGGACTGACTGCAGCTACCTGGGCTGTAGCTCAGCTGCATAAGCAACAGGTCTCTTTGGAGGGCCCTGGCTGGAGAGGAAGGAAAGAACCCTGCATGTAGGGAGCTGCCTTTGCCTCCTGCTGCAGGTAAATAGGGTTTGAGAAACTGCCCTGCCCAGAAACAAACCGTCTGCCTGCAGTGCTGCAGCTGGGCACCTCGGCAGAGCAGGACCAGCCCAGGCAGCCCTAGAAAGGTGTTTCTTGGGGTAACTGGGCAATACACCGGTTGGGCAAGGCTCCAGCACTTTCCATCTGGAACAGGTTTTTGCCAGCTGGAATCCTTGATGCCACTACCTGCCCTACTCCTCTTGCACATGCTGGTGCCAGCAGTTCCAGGACCAGGTCCACACCCTTTGCCACACAGCTCCTCTTCTGCTGGGACATGCACTAAACTCCTGTTTGCTTCTGCCACAAAACAAAATCCACAGCCAGATAAACCCCAAAGTCCCCAGATAAAGCACTGGGAGTGAGAAGGGTATTCGAACGGTCTCTCCATAACTATTTACACAAGTGGAGTCCTACCTGCTTTAAGGTCGATGCAGTTTTGGAACTACTCTCATGCTCATAATTAGGCACAGCTACTAATTATCTTGTTTGATGGGGGCTATTAAACACCAGTCAGCCCGGATCTTAAAGGGGCATGGGGAGATATCACACGGAGAGGGCCTCCACCAGCAACTAGTTGCTGCTGGTGTTTCAAGGATGGGTTGCTCTCCAGTTTAAAATGTTCCTCAGGGCAGTGCCCAGTCTGACACACCAAATTCACCAGCATGATGATGAACTTATTCACTAAGACACTGCTACATGTCCACACAACGTCCCAGAAAGTCTTCTGCAAGCATCACGTGGAAGTTAAGGGCTCTCTACTCAATACACATCAGCTCCCATTGCAGTCCAGTAAGAAGGAGCGGTGGGAAAACCGGAGAAGTCCCACTTGGACACTCCAAAGTGGATCTCCAGCAGTTTCTCTCATCCTGGTTCCAGCTCAAGGAGGAAGAACTCCAAGGGAGGTAGTGTTGTGGCTGTGCTAATGCAACACCACACGTCGGATCGATCGGCTCTTAGCAAGATACTATTGATTCCAGCCACAGCATCCGCCTTCCCCTCCTTCTGCATCCTCCCTCAAAACGCCACATCCCCACCCTGCCAACAAGGCAATCCAGGAGGCCCCACCTCTTGAAGCACTTCTGCACAGAGGTGATGTGCAAGCAAGAACCAGGACCCTCCTTAATGATCCCTCTCTTCTCAGGGACCTCTGGCAGCAACCACCACCAGGCTCAGCATCTCAAGGCTGTTGGGTTTGTTGTGACTTTTAAGCCTTCTTTGCTCTTTTTTTTTTTTTTCCCCCGGTGTTCTCAAAGTCACAGGAAACATTTTCCTGCTGCTTCCAAGCCCCGAGCTGGCACAGAGGCCCCATGCAGCAGACAACCCAGCAGGACAGTCCTAAATTTCACCGTGACTCAGCTGCACAGATGACCCTTTGTGGGTTCAAGGCATCACCCGTGGCCCCACCACCTACCAAAACAGCTGCATCCCTAAAATGTTGCTGCAAAACAGACAGGCACCTGCAGAACAGCCAGTGCTGAAACACCTGCTCTCACCGAGAATCTTTGTTTTTGTTAAAAATAAATCTAAAATTTACAACACACACAGGTGGTCACCAAATCCCCACCACTTCCCAAGGGGAAAAGTCCCTACACAGTAAGAGGATCCCAAGTAATACCCCAGGAGGCATCTTACACCTTGTTCAACAGACCAACAGGAATATAAACCAAACCAAGCCAGCACAAAAACACAACACTGGTTAATTAGCTGATCATCAAGTTAAGAATCAATTAACCAGGTAGTTTTAATCAGCTCACAGACCAGGGATACCACAGCACTTGGGAAGCATCCCTGGGGAGGAGGGAGGCTGGCTCTATCGCATCCATGCACTCATCCAAAGAGATGCTGCGGTCAGAGCAGTTTAGCCACAGCTTTAGTTCTGCTCCCTTTCGGATTTTCCAAGGGAAAAAGCTTTTCCAAACCTGAGACTCCGCTTTTAAAGTGCTCCCAAGAAGGATGGAGGCCAGCCCACTCACGGACAGCCCTGCTCAGTCCAGCGGGGCTTCTGCAATTCCCACAGGTTCAAAGGAGGAGCCGCCAGAACCACAATTCATCCTCCACCCATCTGATAGCAACAGCCAAAAACAAAAAAATAAGTGGCAACCCCCAATGTTGCATAAAAGCTGTTCGCAAGATGAGTTACAAGAAGCAGAAATCTGCAACAAAGTTAAGCCCGGGAGACCAGCACAGAGACAAAAAGTGCTTCCTTGAGAGGGTTGGTGGCAATCTGGCAGCATCTCCATGCTGACCACGGTCACAGGAAGAGTTTAAAACACTAAAATTCTCATTATTACAACACATGATGCTGGCACTCTACAGTCTTTCAGCAAAACCCATTCTGAAGCCAAGCACTTTTCCTGATGAGCCCCTGCCTAATGTTATTGATGGCTTTTACAGAGCACATTCCCTGGATCCCGGCTGCCCGCAGCACTCCCGGGTAGCCTCGAGAAAATGCAGAGCACAGGGAGAGAGCTCTCTCCGTATCCGCTCTCGCTCCGTACCGGGCAGATCTCCCGCTGCGTGCGAGGAGCTCTTTCATCGGGACAAGTCAATCAGCAAAGATCTCTCCAGACACAGACCTCTCGCTGGAAAGAGGGGCGGAAAGCCCCGAACTGCGTGGGATGCATCCACAGCCCAGTTTGGCCACGGACAGGGAATACCCAAGTATCCCACAGCATTAAATAAAAATTAAAAAAAATACAGAAAAACCCAGCGATATCTTTTCTAGATCCCAGGCTTTGCTTAAAAAGCAGCACCTGAGCCTCCCATTAACCACAACGATCGCTTTTTAGGAGCAATTCTGGGTGTCCCTCTGAAGCACAGCGCCCAGCCAGGCCACCGGCCATGTCACCTTCCCCGGCTGCCATGAGGAAGCGGGTGCGTCCCTCTACACCCCTGCCAAGGGATCACATCCAGGAGTTGCGGAACAAAAAAGGACTCTGGAAACCCGGCGCCCCGGGAGCGCTTCGGTGAGTTAAGACACTTCTACGGACTGCGTCTTCCTCTCCTTCCACCCCCCGTGGTTAGGAGTACGGGGGGCTGGAGGGGCGGGAGGGGCAGGAATTATTCCAGGAGGATTTGGGGAGGCTGAGAGTGTTTTATCCGCGCAGGTGACGGACCGCACGGAGGGCGAGGCCGCCGCCGCCACCACCTCGACCCACGGGCGAAGTTCACCCTTTCCTGCAGAGAACCCGGGTGGGTGAAACCGCGAGGGGACCGGGAGGGGACCGGGAGGGGACGAGGACCCCCGTGGGGGTGCGGGGGGTGCCCCCTCCGGCTCCCGCGCACGTGCGGGCGCCGTCCCGGCGGGTGCGGGGAAAGTTGCGGGGCCCCCCCAGGACCGGGTAAACAGCCCCCGGCCCGGGATCCCGGGAGAACACAGGCGTGCACAGAGACCCCTCCCCGCTCACCTTGGTGTAGAGCTGCACGGTGGACATGGCTGGGGCCGGCAGCGCTAAGCGCGGAGCATGGGGGCGGCGGGCGGGCGGGCGGACCGACAGCCGGACAGACGGACACACGGACGCACCGACCTTTACACCCGCCGCGGCCGGCCGGGGTGCGGGGACGGGAAGGGAAGGGAGCGGCGGCAGGAGGAGGAGGAGGAGGAGGAGGGGGGTGGGGGGGGAGGAAGGAGGAGGCAGCACCGCTCCGCCTCCGCCGCGCCCCGCTCAGGTATGGGGCGGCTCGGCTCGGCTCCTTTCGGTTCGCTGCGCCTCGGATTTTATTATTAATTTATTTATCTTTTTAAGGCCCTTTTTAATAATTTTTTTTTTCTCTGGCGTTCACCACCATCCCGCCCGGCTCCGGTCCCCAGCCAGGGGTAGGGACCCCCCCGGCACCGTGGGTTGGTGCTGGGTTTGGGGTTTTTTTCCCCCTTTTTATTCATCTTCCTTTCTCACAGAAGAAGAGTAACTGAGCCCCAGTGCGGTGCCCCTCGGTGGTTTGGAGGTCTCCCATCCTCACCATGGGGATCATCCACATTTTGGGGTGCGAGGAATGGCGTTACTGGGGTGTCCTTTGCCAGGACACACCTGTTCCCTGGGACGAGAGCATTGCCCTCATGAACCCACTGAAAATCCACTCAAGAAACATGCCAGATATAGGTTTTTCTCTGCCTTCTCCTGTCTGGAGGTGGGTTTGGGGTCCCACCACCAACGCGGCTCCTGGACACTGCTTGTGTGACACTCCTATACTGAAGGAATTGTTACTTCGGCAGCAACAGCCAAAAATTGATCCTAGCCTGTCAATCCGTGGCCATGCTGCCTTCCTCCATCCCGCGGGAGCACCCTGTGCTTCGGTTCATGCTTATAAGGCACTTTTAGAGCCCGGGAAGGATGATGCAAATGCAGAGTGTTCCTAATTAATCACTATTGCCACTCTTTATCATTCAAGGCATTTTGCATATTAACTAAGCAGGCAGAAAACACACTCCGCGGATCCTGTTCTCTGTCACAGTTGTTTGCTCCGTCGCTGGGATCCCTCCTCCCGCGGTTCCTCTGTGCTGCTCAGAGAGCACCCTCAGCCTTTCTTTAAAGACGTTGCTGGTGGCATCTTACCCTCTGCTCCTCATCCCTTGGGGGATGAAATTCCCCCCTTCGGAATCTTTTCCTTTTTCCACCCCAGAGCCTGGCAGAGCACGGCACCGATTGGGTGGGAGGATAGCCGGCATCGCAGATACCTTTCTTTTCCAGCTCTGATGTCTGTGATGAATCCAAATAAATTGCAGGTGGCTCTGGGGGAAGTTTGGGAAGGAGGAAAGAGGGGGAGAAAAAGCTGCACCACTGCTGGAAATTACTCTGGGAAAATTTGACAGTGTAATCTCTGTAAAGCCTCCAAGAGAGCTTTGTCAGGCAAACAAAACTTGCTCCTCTCCTTTCTCTAAATCAGCTGTGGAAACAAAACGTGGAGCACCAGTGCAAGCAGAAGCAAAGCTCAGTGAAGCTGGGGTAGCAGTGATAGCCCAGAGGCAAAGCACAGCAGTTCCCATGAAATACCAGCTGGTGCCGTGTGTGATTCTCCATTAATCTAAAATTTTAATTAAAGCCAGAAACTAAACCCACCAAAATACATACAAAATCCCCGAAGTACATCCTAAATGCTGAGTTGCTGGATGTTGTCTCATCCAGGAGATAGATTATTTTTGTTTGGGAATCAAAACTTGTGTTGATCATATTTAAGAAGCACTGGCTCTTAAATAGCATTTTATGGTATCCCCTCTGGCATTTACGTTGAAGGCATTTAGAGGTGAAAATGAACCAAATACTAGGTTTTTTCCCCTCTAAGCAGAGCCAGTGGGTTCCCTGCAAGTACAGGATGGGTGTTGGACTTTATTTTAAGGTCCCAGCCTTGTCTCTGTGTTGTAATGACACATGGAGACCCCAGGGACAGATGGATGGACGGACAGATGACAGCACAGGGCAGTGAGGGGCATCAATTCTGACAGCTCCAAATGTCACCAGGACGGAGTTGACTGTTCCTAAAGACAATGCCAGGTCCTGAATTTTTGCATGCAAAGCTGCCCCAAAGACCTCAAATCTGGACTTCCCTCCTCCTGGGCCACACAGAAGTCACCGTGTGAGAGAGGTGGGTCTGGCAGTGTCACCATACCCTGGGCATGGCCGCAACAACTGCTCCTACCTGAGTTAAAGTAATGAAAACTTATTCCAGGTGTTAAAGCAATGAATAATTTACAAGGAGGGATTTTCCTGCAAATAAAACTGATTCTGTCCAAAGCCCTGCAGCCCAGCCCCCGGAGCAGGGACCAAGCCAGCACCATGCCATGGGGCACCAGGAACCACTCCACAGCTCAGTGTCAGCATGGCCAAAAACATCACCATGGAGAGCCCTGGGGTCAGGATAAAAGCCCTTGTGAGCAGATGGGTGCTCAGTCTGACAGCCTTGGCAAGGGCTGTAGGTTCAGACCTTGGAGTGAGTCTGGGACAGGCAAATCACCCACGCTGCTCTTCCTCTGTCAGTGTCGAAACTTTAATTAGAAAATACAAGGAAGAATATTTTACAAGGCTCTAGTACCTGCATAAATGAAGAGGCTGTAACTGCCAGGTTTTTAAATGCCAGTGGTTTTGTCTCTGTGTGGCTCAGAGCCCTGGTGGAGGGAGAGCTCACCCAGTCGTGGTCCAGGCTGCTTCCCTCAGCAGCGCTGTCCCTGTGCTCTCGGTTTAATAGATGGTTTGGCTTCGGGATTGCTCACTCAGGCAGGAAATACCACATTCATGAGCAGTAGGTAACGCTCCTGAGGTTCCTGGGACCTGCGAGCCACGATTCCAGATCCGTTTTGCTCAGTTATTGCCTGGTGATCTGTAAGTCACAAATGTAACGTGAGCGCTGGCCCGAGGGAGGCAAAGGCACGACCATGCTTTGAAGCACATGCTACTCAGTGCCCTATTTGCCCAGTTTACTGCAGGGATATCAAAAGAACTGGAAGAAGAGGGAAATCCACAGCATCGAGGAGACTCTTCAGTCTCGGCAGAGAACACCATTCTTGCTGCATGGCCCATCTGACTGTTAGGGGCTGTGAGAAGGTGCCTCTCAAGGAGTCTGCTGACCCACCCAGCCTCACCTGCTCTTCTGCACCAACCTGAATTCTACAAAGCACTTGGCAGCAAAGGATTCAGCCCCAGCAGCATGTTCATCCACCACCAGTTTTCTCTCAGAAGAGCTTAGTTGCCCGTTATCCCATGGGAATTCACTCCTGCTGAAGGCAAACTTCTTCCAGTCTGATCTTTTAATTTTGTGCAGACCTCATGTTCGCTGCAGAGGAATTTTGCCTCCAGGAGCAGGAGCTCAGACACTTTATAAATGTTTGATAGCTCTGACCACCTCTTCTGAGTTATTATTTTATTAAAAAAAGAAATTTATTACGGTTCTGGATGGTTCAAATTCACCAAGCTCAACAATATGATATTTTTTTTCTCTCTCATATTGCATATGTACCCAACAAATGTCACAGCCTTTAATAACATGCTTTAATTAATCCTGGAATTCTGAATGTGCTATTATCTTCATTTTTCAAAGAGAGGTCACAGTAGTAAAGAAAAATCTACATTGCTTGCATAGGGCCACTCCTGGAGTCTGCGGCAGACCAGGAAATTAATCTCTTAATCATTCTGCCAATTTGACCCAGCAGTGAGAGGACAGACCTATGACTACCTCAGCTCTCTGGGCTGATGAAACTATTTCCATTATCTGGGATGACCTTTCCTATCAGCAAAACAGGAGGAGCAGCTCTGAAATCCCCTCTATGGTTTTGGAAATGGTTGTTGAAAAGCACCGTGAAGGGGCTCAACATCCCGACTAACAACTCACCTCTCCCAGTCTGCAACGTTTCCCTTCCTTGGAGGTTTCCTTTCTCAGTATCTGTAGGACACAAACCCTATCTGTATTCAAGGAATAAGACATGAAGAGCCTTTGCTCTGCTCTGTCTGGTCACCTGCCTGGATGGTAACAGCCAGTGGACTTGTCCCTCTTCCATCTGCTGACTCAGGACGCTCCTCTCTGAGATGTTTTATCTGTAAGCAAGGATAAAATCCCACCACACTCCTTTTCCCCTCAGCAGGGGCCAGGTTCTTCCACCATTTACACCCAGAATTAGCTGGGTTGTTCAAAGATCACTGATACTGTTTCAGATTAATACATATCCACCTGGCCTTTTTCTCCACAGGAAAAAAAAAAACCATTTGCGAACTCGGTTTCTGCCTTAAACCGAGATGAGACAACTTTGCAGGCTGCTTACTCCTGATTTGTTCTGAGATATCTGGGAGCTGGGGCTCCTGGGCTCTGATCCGAGCCATTTATCAGCTCCTCTGATGAATGTGCAACCATTCATGCTCCCACAAAACAAAACCACAAAAGTCCTGGTATTTGCCAACTGGGAAACAAACATTGAAAAGCAAGGTAGGGAGGACAAAAAGGGTAGAGAAAGTGGTTAGAGATGGATAGAAGAAGAAAAGGGTGGAGAAGCAGGGGCTGGAGCAAAGAGAGGAGAAGACAAAAAGCTGAAGGAGAGAGAAATAGCTGCAGATAAGCAGCAGCAGAGACACAAGGGGAAAAATGAAAGAAATAATATGAAACATTTTTCCAGATGCCACAAAGTCTACGAGCAAGAAAGGATATGAGGTTTTAAATGGATTCTTCACCTCCCTCCTCTGCAAAGGACTGAGAGAAAACTAATTGAATACACAGGAAGGAGCTGGTTGAGGGCAATGGCACGGGGAGAAGATGGATTGCTCCCACCCATCCTCCTCGTGTCACCCCCTGCTCCTCTGCACACAGGGCAATCTGGCCTTTGACACGGGGAGCTGAGAAGGCAGAGAGGAGGTGTCCCTGCTCCCCACTGCCAAAACCCTCCCAACCCTCCTCTGCTGACATCCAGCCATTTCTTTTGTTGCTCCATCCTGAAGTGTTGTCGGTGCTCTGGCCCCCCATTCCATCTGTTCAGACTGTGGTGTTGGTGACAATCCAAGGAACCCAAAGAGGCAGACTTGCCATGAAAGTGATAAAAAATAACAAGAA